ATAATGATAAAGCACCAGAGCTGTTTTCATTCACAGAGTTTCAGTTGTTGCTGATTTTTTTGTACAGCACTTTGGTCAATGTGAGTTATTTTTAAATGTGCTTTATAGACTTCAATACAGAGCCTGGACTTAACAATGTGTGTTCACTGAATGCTAGGGAGGACTCTTGCCTTGCCCACGCAGGATCCTTGGGAGGAGGACCCGTCCTCCCAGGGCACACCCGTGTCCCCAGTTGGAGCCTGACTGACCTGAGGAAGGGTGCTGGCAGTACCATTGGGGGATTGTAAGTCTGCCAACATCAAATCTTAGAGATCTCTACAGTCTTTAGATGACACTGGGCCACTGTTAGGACAAGTCAGCAAAAGGTGGCAGCTGGGAGGTCATCCTGGGTCTGCTGTATCTCCTGGGGGCCTGGAGTTTGTTGGTCCAGGTGTTTCTGGGTGGTGATCTGTGGGACTGGAAAGCCTGCTGTTCCAGGTTGCTCTGGGTTGTCATCTTGGTGGGTTGATCCTTGCTGGTCTGCCTCGCTGGTGGATTCCAAATGGGCTTGAGGTTCCTCTGATGGTGGAAGCTCCTGATGGTAAAAACCTACGTTTGACCGTCTGGCTCTGTTCACCTAGGACTCGGGACATCTCCTGAATATATGGGTGTCTGGCCCGCAGAGGTTAGATTTCACTGGCTGGTGACAATCTTTTGTGTTGTGAGCTGTACTTTCGCAGTTTCTGCAGAAGGTGGCGCTGCAGTTGGCTGCAAGGTGGGATGAACAGCCACATGTCCTGCAGGTCTTTGATTGATCACCATAAAACACATGGCCCCTAACTGGTGCCATGAATTAGCTCTCTCCTCAGCTGCACATAGAAACGCCTGGCCCCAGTTCTAATTCCATGCTTGTCCCTCATTTCCATGCTCCGTAAGACGGTGCAATGGAAAGACAGCCATGTGTCTATGTCCTCAGTTGCAACTGTTTCAGAGTACGTAATCACGATCACTGTTTTTGGTTCCCTCTCTGAGAGTGGGATGAGAAGAACTTTGTGGAGTCTCTGATTATTGTCCTTATTCTGCTCAAGGCGTTGCTCAAACAAGCTGTAGGTTGCAAAATTACCTCAAATGAATTTTCAGTAGGCAGGGCAAACACATAGTCAAGTTGAGGAGGGCTGAAACCCTGTTCCCTCTGGAAAATATTCCAGCTGAACTGGAAACAATCCACTTCCAAGTCTTCTTGGAGCTCAAAACAAACCGCATTCTTTCAGGAACCAGCTGAAGCCTTCATGTCAGAGAAGTCTTCTGATGTACCTCTTGTACTGAAAGGCAATGGTACGTATTCCTTCATCTGATCAAAACTCTGGATTTAGGCTCAATATACTGCACTAACCCATAAATCTCCCTTCATAGGACACCCTTCTGGTCCTGGGCCCTGGGACAGTTGACCACTTTGCCTAGTTGGTAATCCAGAATTGCCACACTAGTGTTACCTTTCATTCAGTTCCTAGCCAGTCAGAATGGAGAGAAAAATAATTCAATCACTTAATATTTGCAAAGAAAACAACATCATACTATTCAAAATAAACTTTATTGATATAGTGTCAGACTACACATGTACATATATGTTACAGTAATGAATATATAGCAGCATCCTCATATGGAAATCCTCAAATTAATTCTATTCAAGTAAAGCAGGCACTGATATTTAATGACTAAATGTATTTACATAACGATGCGAATGATTTTGACTTTGCATCCGTTTTTGTTCCAGAAAATATCTGGATGGCTGAAATAGTGTTCACCAGTGACTGTGTGCATCTATGACAGAGATCCTTGAGTGCAGTAGAGCTGATAAACTGTTCTGCTCAGAGCTGGACCCAAGTTTCTGAAAGACAAAGAAAGATAGGGTATGAAGATGGGTATAGAAAAGGTTTCACAAATCCAAGAATTTACAGATGCACATAATTTTACAGGTGATAGGGTTCTTTTTTTGTCAAAAAAAGGCAGTTCATGAAATTAATGGGGGTTTTTTTAGCAGTAACTTCGCCTCTAGTTGAGAACACCAAGCAGCCTAAACATTACAACCAAAGTAAATAACATGGATCATCTTGTTACAATGCAGTGTTCTGCTGGGAAACCTTTCGTCCTGGCCTTCGTGATGATGCCACTTGATGTGCTTCACCCACCCAAACACCGTTGCAGACCAAGTACCTCCCTCATGGCAATGGCATTCCCCTGAGGGCATTGCCCAAAGAGTGTGACAAAGAGCTCAAAGTGGCAACCTGGCATCTAAATTCCCTAGATCCCAATCTGATCAAGCATTCGTGGGACATGCAGGTACCTCAGAGATCGAGCCCGGACAAAGATTCTCTGGGGAAGTCCTGTGGTATGGCACCACGGTGTTTGCGGAGGATCCTTAGGCTATCAGCACATCCCACAGATGCTTGACAAGATTGGAATCTGGAGGCCAGGTTGATGCTTTCTGCTTTTCATCACATTCCTCGGGCCATTCCTGCAGTGTGGTATAGAGCATCGTCCACTGGGGAGTGCAATTGCCATGAGGTCTTGGTCTACAACAGTGTTTTGGTGGGTGGAAGACATCAAGTGCCCTGTAACATGTTAATCAGTGTTATTCACTTTATCCATCATTGGTTTGAATGTTTCGCCGGATTGTTTTATGGTGAAGTTACGGTAGTCCAAGTCAAGTATGATATTGATAAATACACACTAAGAAAAATATGAAACTACAATCAAACCTTTTGAGCTTCCCATAGCGGATGGAAGAGAGGAGTTTCTCTTTCTCTGCTTCACTTGCACACTGTTCATAGGCTGTCAGAAGACTGAGATTGAGAGAGGCAGAAATATTCTTAAAACATAAATAAAAATATTCAGTTTCTATCAGTAGCTTGGGGCCATTGTACTCAGTTAGTTATAGTATAGTTATAGTTATAGTTATACTAGCTGGCGTGTTATCGTAATGTGAAAAATCCGACAATTTTGCAGAACAAGACAGATGACAGACGCCAGATAGTGCGAGCTAGCTAGCTAGCTAAATCAACCTGACGATGGTAACGTTAGCTATGTATGAACTTTTTTCCCCGTCTCTTGCTCGTTGGTAGTCATGGCGACGTCTACCCCTCGCTGGCAAGTCAGCATCTGAAATCCCTCGCTCCAAAGGGCTAGTTTCATACCCACTACCCCTACATGCTAAAAGTAATTGGGACACCCCTACCCCTCGCAGGAACGCGCAAATGTAGGAGTAGGGCCAAGGGGTAGAGCTAAGGGGGGGTATTGGGACCGGCCCTTAATATGTAGCCTCTGTACACCTTCCACTGTCCAACTCTTGTGAAGCTTTTAACTGTGAGCATTTTTCAATAACCAAAACTGAACCTTACCCTTGTCTTTGCCTGTCGCCTTACAGTCATTAACCTTTAGTTAACCCAGAAGGAACAGATGTAAATGGCTTGTCCAAGTTGCACTTTAGTCACACCGTGTTTTGTGAATTGGGAATGTACCTTTATATTACTTTCGGACACAAAAATGAATCTGCACTTCAAAGTACGTGTTCATGTCATGGGACTATGTAGTACTGTTTTGTCTTGGCTTGTACAGGCTCAGGTCAGAGGCCTGTACTTCAAAGCAGTATTTGAAGTTAGCAAGGTAACTTCGGGGTTAACTCTGAGTTTTCAGTACTACGAATCTGGTTTTGTGTTTACCAGGATAAATCACCATGGCAACTTATGCTGAACAGCTATCTGCTCCGGAGCAGGTTAACTTTTGAGTATCGGATCACAGCCTGTCAACACCCCGACCTCTGACCAATCGGATCACTGCAGAAAAAAGTATCCATGGACAAACGTCGGTGGTGCCAGGTAAAAAAGAGAGGCCTATATGCTGTTATAGATCAGTAGAATCATTTCACTGTTCACGGGCTCTATCTCCTCTGGTTTTAAAACAGAGCAACCTCATCAGTCATTAACTGCTTTTCCACCCTTTACTTCATAAGCAGAAACAGTCTGACAACACTTTAAAGTGTTTTATGTGACAGCACCACATAATTTCCGTCTCCGATGTCAGTAAATAGTGTGGGTAGTGTTTTCAATGTTTCTAGATTTGCAGACCGCTTGTAACTACACCAGTTCCAGACCTCCACATCTCGCTACTCCCCCAGCAAGATCATCTGAGATCGACCACTCGAACATCTGATGCAACATTTGGTTTGCACAACCAAAGAATTTCTGCACAAACTCTCAAACACCATCTCAGGAATGCTCATCTCAGTGGCTGGTCTCAGATGATCTTGAAGGTGAAGAAGATCCTGGGCTGGCTCACTACACAAGTTGGATGTACTGCCAAATTCTCAGATATGGCATTGGAGACATCTTGTGGTGGTGAATTGAACATGGGCATTCCTGCAGTCAGTATGCCAATGGCACGCTCCCTTATAACTTCTGTGGCTTTGTGTTGTGGGATCCAACTGCACATTTTAGAGTGGCTTTTTATTGTGACTGTCTCAAAGCACACCTGTGTAGCAATGACTCATCTTAATCAGCATCTTAAAGTATTAGTTTTATTTCAACTCATAAAAAATGGGGGCAAAAAACAAAGTGTTTGTTCAGTGTGATTAATCTAAATAGACCTTTATTGCAGCTGCATGAACTCACAAGTACATCACCAGGGAAAAAAGAGATAAGGGGTAAGAACACTTGATGACTTACCTGTGCGGAGTGTTGTATTGCTCCAGTATTGCAGCTGCCTTGTCTCCAGACAGTCCACTAATCTGCATCAGCTGTCTGGCAAACACTTCTCTCACTGTCTGACACTAGAAGGGAAAACAGGGATTCAAATATATTCACAAAAACACCCGTAACATTGAATTTAAAAAAAGAAAAAATAGAAACTTCAGAACTAAAATTTACATCAATAAAAGGTTTTGCAGTATTTCTTTCTTTTTTTAAGTGCTGGTCAAACAGGTGAATGGAAATATACTTGGTGAGGGCTTGCAGACACACACACACCTTGTTTTTAAGTGCACCATGATTGAACTCTGCAAAAGAAATGAGAGAGCACGAGGGGGTGGCTCTCTCCTCCTCTTCACTCCCTCTATCGCCCTCCAGCTCTCTGGAGCGACAGATCAGCGTACAGTTCTGAATTAAAGGACGGAAGTACACGGCACAGTTAGGGAGGAGGTGGCTTTGTGCTCCTTCTTCAATATCAAGAACACACATGCTGTAGTTTATTTTGACTCAATCCCACATATAGTGTCCTGTTGCCCCAAATACTCACCAGAAAACCAAATGTGGATTAATTCGCTGCTGAAAATAGTCCTCAACAAATTGCCTATTGACCTGTTTGCGTAACATTTGCTAAAGCCTTAGTGCACATCTAAGTAAGGTGGCACTCACCGAGGACAGCGGCCGATGTTTTCCTGTTGTGTTACATCAGTTTAACACAGGCTTCAAAGCAGGGCTCGGTGCCCCATCACCCCAGGGACAATAGGAAACATGTTTGGGACGAACAGAAATCTTCCCAGGGACACCGCCAAGACAAAAGGACGCATTAAACTCACTTTCAACAAGTTAGCAGCTAACAAAGTTTGCATTCAGTTACCTTATGATGCGTTCAAGCTCTACTAAGTAAAAGTGAGTGTTGGGCGAAGGTAAATCATATTTTTGTATGACTGAATTTGTGTTCATCAAATCTCGTTGATGAAAACAATGACAAAAATTTTTCATCAACGCCCTTTTTTTCCATGACAGAAACAAAAAATAGATCTTGATAATAAAAACCAAGACGAGATGTATGTTTCATTTTCGTTGACGAGTCGAGACGTGACGAGATGTTCGTCATGGACTATCGCACACTGAAAGCTGAGAACGGTCGTGCTTACAAATATCTTCAAATGCCTTGTGAGCTTTAGGCTGGTAAACTACAGGAAATAGTCTGCACCAGGAAGTTTTGCTAGCCAGCAAAAACACTCACACCAGAGCAGCATGAGGCGTTTGTGCGAGTTGTGAGCTGTAATTCAGCAGTAGATAATCAGCCGTGTCTTGTGGAGTCTGTTAATTGCAGCGGTGTGTGTTAGCAGTTAGCTCCACCCGTTAGCCGCTGAATGGCAGCAGAGCAAGCGGCCACCAGCCACCGGACTACACATCTGTTGAGCCCCGCAGGACTCCTCTCGGTTTTGAACTGTCTCAGGAAGGTTTATGGGTTAAAAATAAATCAATTTATTGGGATCAGTTTTAAAGATTGACATCTTCAGTAGGAACCAATGAGCTTGGATATGATATGATATGATATGATATGATATGATATGATATGATTCTGGACCCATGAGGGGGTTTTTATTAAAAAAGAAAAGGGGAAAATGGACTGTGTGCGTTTCACCTGATACAGTTTAGTCAGGTATCGCGTCATGACGGTGAGGTAGGCCACTGACTCCCTCACATCCTGGACTCTCTTCACAAAGAAGCCATCAACTACCTAATACACAAACACACACAAGTGACAAAGTGAACACACAACACGTATACGCTACACACACTAAATCACACAGGCAAACTATCGCTAACCACTTTTAAACAATTGGCGTTTGCCTGTTTGTACCACAACTGAGCCTACAACCATATTGATGACTATGTTTTTTGGTTAAAATATTGTTTGATTAAGTCGTTTAATACCCCATTGATTTGAACTGTATTTTTGTAAAGGCTTGTTTGTTTGGGGATTTCTGTCAGTTCATAGCGTCATCCTGCAACTCTCCACACATCCTGCAAATCAGTCAACTCTAAAACCAACCAAACAGTGAGAGAAACTAAACCAAAGACCGTGAGTTCATCATATGTCCCATCATGGCGTCTGAACTTATTTGGAGGTCGCAATAAATACCATACATTGGTTTGGACTTGGTCTAATCTAAAGTAAATGACCGTGTAAGTGTAGGAGTGTGTGTTCTCGCACCTGTGTGTTGATTATGGCCTGCTGCAGCGTAGTCTCAGGTAAACTCAGGTGGGAGGCAGCGGTCCCACACTCCTCTACCAGATAGCAGGGCCGACGAAGACCACACCGCTTCAGTCGAAACTGATGCAGAGAGAAAAGGAAGGGAGAAATATTAGAAGTTTAAATACGGTTATACCTACAGCTGAATGAGTCGTGGAATATGAAAATAAAAATTGAGTCAACTGTTCGCTCTGCTCTGCCTTCTGTCCTCAGCTTCAGTGGCAGCTGGTTTGACTATGGAGATGCTAGTGACGGCTAGCTTGACCACAGCCTTTTACTCAGTCGGCCAAGCTGGATCGAATTCTGTCCTCCTGTGCTTCTCGGGTCATCTAATATTTCTGTATCAAGGTAGTCGTCACTCCCATCTCTGTGGTCGAAGCAGTCATCCTAAAGTTGGAGTGTCCCCTGTACGCTGATCTATAAATACACTGAAAGGGCCCAGGATACACAACTGATTACATCTGCTTTTCAAAATAAGTTAACACAATGTAAAAACATTAATATCCACGGGAAGACTAAAACATGCTCCCTGCATCCCTATGGCCGGGTTCACACTATCAGTGAGCCTCTGTGGCCCTCATCGCTGCACTGTGTGTCCCCCAACATTGGCCCTCGTTGTTGCTAGGTGGCTCTTTTTCTGCCGATTCAGCATGTTAAATCTGCGTTGGCGACTGCGGAGCCCGTCGGTGAATGAAATCACTCCAATTGGCAGTTCAGGTTAGCGCACGTGAAGAGAAATGGAAGTGAGGAAAGTAAACAAAGCTGTTGTATAAGATTGTTTTTCTTTAGCCACTGAGCTCTTTAGCAGGAGGTTACGTGATGGTTTGTGTTGTCGTTCACTGGCAAACAGTAAATATGCTCTGTTCTTTCAACACTGGATTGTGTTGTTAACGTGCTAACTGGCTAACTAGCATCAAGAAGGACTTCCGGCTTCCCTTATTGAATGACAATTGCAGACAACCACCATCTGCTGGTGTGTTAAGTTTTCTCCTCTCATGCGTGGAATATACATGCTGGTTGGCCGTCAATTAAAGCCTTTGCCGTGTGTTTGTGTGCAACTTTTTGGCCGAGACGTGATGTTATAAAGCAACGCAGCAGGGGGGCCTTCATCACCGCTAGTTCTCTGAGGCAGGTTTGGTGTGTCTGGGCCTTCAGATGAGACATAAAAAGTCAAACTTTAAAGAGCGTGATTATCATGTTGTTGAGAATCAACATTGTGGAAGTGCAAAATTAGTTTTTTGGAATAAGAAAGACAAACTTTTGATTAGTGATTAATTGTTCAAGTTATTAATCACGTATACATTTGAAATTGCATTTCTGCAATTTGAAAATATTTTGGGTTTTGTTGGCTAGAGAACACTAAAGTCAAAATGTGGGTCTCTGATATGTGTGACATTCTTCCCATTTTAAAGACTAAATAATAATTTGATGGCATAAATAATTGATGAATCAGTTGCACCACACACCGACCTTCTGTTCCCTGAAGCGTCCATCGATGATGCTACCACACAGGTCATCCATCCTCTTCCTCTCAATGATGTAATCAAGTACGAGCTCCCGGCCTGCGGGGGCACGCAGCTGACCTGCGTGAAAAGAGAGGAGATTATAATGCATTTATGTAGATAGGTGGGCAACATGTAAATAACACAAGGTGACCAAGTAAGAAAATAAATTTTCGTCGTTGATGAGGAGATCCTACTCAAGAAAAGCTTGAAAGTGTCTGTTTCTGTGTTTGTGAGTTACCTGGAACAGGTGTGACCTTTTCACGAGCGACCCACAGGAAGTCTCCAATGTTTAGCTTCCTAACATCAAAGATCACTCCGTTTCTCTGAAGCTCCTTGACCAGTTCCTGCTTTCGGTGTTGGCTGCCACTGCACAGGCAAGTCCACAGGTCATGAAATACAGTATTCGTCCTTAATTCACACAGATATCCAAACAGCTGTCTTACCCAGTTGTCTCAATGAAGTCAACGCAGAGTATAATGTCATAGGTTCCAGGCAGAAGACATCCTGCATTCGGCTTTCTGCTCGTTGCCTGTGAATCCTTGGATTTTCCTGAAAAACTCGTCCCATCGACCTCAGTCCTCGGCTGGGCAGCACAGGGCGGATTCTCTGTAGGGCTGTGAAGAGAACATGATTCATTTCGTTGCGGCAGGAAATAGAGCAGAAGATGAAGATTTTATTAATGTACACTCACTGTATTCTGTCTTCTTCCTTTTCGTCTTCATCATCATCACTGGCAGTCAGGTCCACGAGCCCAGGACCACCTTCCTCCTCATCCTCCTCTCCTTCACTTCTGACCTCCTCTGTGTCGCCCTCTGGGCCGTCTTTACTCCCTTGGTTTGCTGACTCCAGTCGCTCTGCCAAAGCCAGACCCTCATCTGTCAGAGAATACCTGAGTGAGAGTGAACAGGACCTTCAGTGTATAAAGCTGAAAACACACCGGCGCCATCGCCAACAATCCGGTCATTATAGAGAGAAAGGCCAAAAAGATATCGCCTTGTGAGTCATAGCTCTGGAGATCGGCTCTTCAGGTGAGTTTAATTAGTGGCTGTTCACATATGATTTTACGCAGCGTGACACAGGTCAAGTGCTGCCCCTAGCACACACTGGACATGTCGCGCTGCAGCTCAACAGACAGACGACCACGCAAAGTTATTACTATTTTTACTGAAAGATCTGTTCTTCCTCCACCAAACTCATTAGGAATCGTCCTCTGGGCACAATAGTTGATGAGATATTTCAGTCTGGACCAAAGTGGACGAACGGCTAAGGAAAGGCGATGCCATCTCCAGAGCCACGCTGCTAGCACGGCTACAAATAAACACTAAACTAAGACGAACATCAACAGACAAAGTGTGTGTTCAGGCTTGTGTGTGTGCTTCCTGTATTACCTCGCAGGGTTGTGGGTCTTCATCACCAAGTTCTTCTGGATCAGAGTGCTCACTGAAGACCAGGCAGTGTACTTACTGCCGAGGTCGGGCTACACACGCACAGAAATAATGAAGGAGGAAAACAACTCAGCGTTAAAATAATGGTCTGCACATGAAGACGTACAGAGAGCATGATTAACAGCAGTGTAACACTTACAACAGTGAAAGACTTATCGCAGAGGAGCTGAGCTTCTGCTTGAAGCTCCATCTTAAACATGAAACCTTTACTACCTGGAATCTAAAGAGAAAGAGAGGTGATTATATGAAATCATTTGACTTACTGAGGCCACAGTTCAGCACTTGTGTGATGGAGAGAGGTGTACCTGCGACTGTCTGTACAGGGTGAGCAGTACAGCATAGCCCCCAGACCTCTTCTGGGGCACGTACTCCCTCTTCTTCTTCCTCCCTCCTCCTCCTCCTCGTCCTCCTGTGTCTTTCCCTTGATCCCCTGCTGCATTCTTCTACAAGCAAAGATGGATCACACAGAAAAACAAATCCACTTTACTTTCCTTTAATCCATCACTTTGAGTTACTGTTGTTGTTCACAGCTGTAAAGAAGTGAGAGATCATTTTTGTTTTTACTGAATATTTGAAGGCAAGCTGTGAAACTGTATCACTTATTTTGTTGCAGTTCTACGTTCATAAATTAATAATAATTTATTTATTTTTTTTACCAATTTGTCATATCGTCAAGAATATCGTTATCACAAAAATACGCTGAGATATCGTGATATTATTTCAGGGCCATATCTCACACCCCTAGAGTGTACAGATTTAGAGCTGTGAGATATGAGACAATATAGATGCTATTTGGGATTTTTACTACAAAATACTGTATGAAAAACTTTCAAATGTGTGTTTCCTTGACGGTTGCATTACAGTTAAGTGTTGTAAAGCCCTCTGAGGCAAACTGTAATCTGTGATATTGGACTATATAAATAAAACTGAATTGAAATTGAACTCTGTCAGTCTGTTTCCTCGTAGCTTTTAAAGACACTGACTTCCAAACTTCCATTAATTCATCCACTTGGACATTTTAGGATTGTAGTAAACTGTGTCTCTGCACAATAAGACAAACACAGACTGTCTATTTAGCCCACACTGCCCTGGTTACCTTTCTGGAGGGAGCCAGGCTGTTGTTGTCCCGTCTGCCAGGAGGGGGCGCTCCTTCCGGAAGAGAGTGAATTGGAGCGTCTGGACCTACAGAAGGTGAAGACACAGGAGTAATGGAGTAATGGTGTTTCCATCAGCCTGTTTAAATGCGCATCTAGAAGTATTGCATCGGAAAATTATGATGGAAACGCCAAAATTCGAATTAAAATCCCCTGATTCGCACAAACTAACTTCGGCAGATTCAAAAAAATGTTGATACGTAAAATGGGGGATGGAAACAGTTATGTGCGAATTAAGTCCGATGTATCGCACCTCTCTCCATGGTGATATCTCCACTCCGGGTCGGGAAGGCGGTAATGCATTTACAAGCTGGTTGCCAACCACCAGAAATGTAGAAGAAGAAGAAGAATGCGAGACTTGTTTTGTTTGCGGTTATGTGGAAAACTCGCACGAGTTCATAGTTTTCACCAAAGTCCATACATTTAATGGAAACACACAGGATTCATATTTCTTTTAATGTGCATTTCCCAATGATTCGAGTCACTTTTGGATGGAAACATAGCTACCGTAAACTGATAACTTCATACTTTAAGAATACTTATACAGCTCTAATGAAAAATGTCCTACTGGAAAGTTCGCTTGACTGTTGCTGCAGTAGAAGTATAAGACAATGATAAATCTACCCATCTATTATAGTGCTTTATTTATTCTTATTCTAACAGTGGTGTAAAAAGCACTTCAACCAGAATGCAAACTTCAATCCTTCTACTCATCCATCCACCCGTCTCTTACCGTTCTCTCTACGGTATCGCTGCAGTTTGTCGTCCAGTAGTTTACAGATACCGTCTCCGAAGTTCTGGAGGATCTTTGCCTCTTTGGCCGTTTGCAGTGGTAATGGATACTTGTTCAGAGAGCTGATGGCCTGCAAAGAGACAGAAACAAACAAACAAAAAATATACAGTAAGATAAACCTGAATAAAAGTAGTAATGAGAGAAAGAAACTGGACAGGGTTGTCAGAAAAGCGGAGATCATTGATGTGCCGCTGTTGGACATCTACAGCCAGAGGTGCATCTGCATAGTTAAAGACTCCTCTCATCCCTCCCACAGTTTCGTCTCCCTCCTGCCTTCAGGGAGACGGTTCAGCAGACTGTTGAACTGTTGAGCTGTAGCTTTTGACTGCACTTTATTGGCCTTTTTAGTAGCTTCTATTTTAGATTTTCCAAAACCTCTTGTTGGTCCAAGTGCTCTCTGGCAAAGTTTAAACGGGCAACCTTATTCCTTCTTGAGAGCAGAGGCTTCCGTCTAGTACCGAATCAACCTTAATGTGGACCACCGCTTCCACCTCCAGCCGCTCCAACAGGGAAATCAGTTGGCAAAAGAAAGAATAAAGCAGAAAAAGCTAACACTAAGAGAGAACTCGATGCTGCAAGAGCCAAAACTCGGGTCAACATTGTCTCTGCTTTCGAGAGATGGCGACAACTGATGCAGCTTCAATTCTGAGCTAAAAAGGGATGAGATGGTCGCATCTGCTGGACAGGTATTTTTAGTTTGCCTCTAATGTAACATAGGCTATAACGTTATGTATGATGACACAGCATCCAGTTGCTAATGGCTAATGTTAGCCTACTGTAGCGTAGCCTCTGAAACATTATCTTCCTTGTGCGTTTCCACTTACTAGTAACGTTAAAGCTACTATGCTATAGTATACATACACGTAACAGCGCTCGACAGTGCGAGCGTTTCACTCGCATTTGCGACTAAAACTAGGTGTGTGCGAACTGTAAAAAATATTTAGGGGCACATGTGCGCATAAAAAAATCAGCCGAAGCAGCCTATATTTTTGTCAATAAAAAAATATGATAATCTAACCGCAAATGTTAGAGGAACTCCAGCCGCCTTCCCTCTTCCCTCTTCCCCATGTGACACGGTTATGGGCGGTTTTCCAAGCCACTTTCGGCACAATGAATATAAGTCCCACTGTCAGCAGCGTGGAAATAATTCAAAGTGTGCCGGAGACAAGGGACCGGGAAAAGTGGCGGACCTCCGGGGAAGCCTGCTCCGTTCTCCCCGCAGTTAGGGACCCTTTGCCACGGTACCGCTGCTGGGCAGGGTGGAAATAAGTCCTGCAGAGTTTCAGAGGACCTGGAGAATGTTTTAGGACAGTAATAACGTTATATAAAATATTCCTATTGCAAAGATAATATATATATATATAAGATAATAACATTAAAGACAAAATTAAATTGCAATACTTTTTCAAAACTTGACATGATTTCACCTTTCTGTACATTTTGTATACAAATTCATTAAATAATTTTGCTTGTAAATGTCTATTTGCATCACGTTTATTACGGAAAACACATTATTTGATCAATTTACATTGTGCCCCTAAAGTTCTTTGTGCACTCCTTACTTTTTCAACTTAGGAGCACATGTGCTCCTTGGGAAAAAAGTTAGCGTCAAGCCCTGCGTTATGGAGGAGGGGGAGTAGGCCTTTGGAGGGAAAAAACTGAACATCCACAACTCCACTACCGTAAGATTAGCTTTAATTGATTACTTGAGCACCCACATGTGTTTCACCTGAGTCTTTTATCTACTTGACTTTACCAATGCAGCTGTGGTTCACTTGCTTTTGTACATACTCTGATTCCATGCTGCTGGCTACTCACAAGGTCGCTCAAAAGTACAAAAAGTACATGGGACTGATGAACATAAACCTGACATTTTGCTTTGTGAAGCACTTTGTAACATGTGTTTTGGAGAGTGCTATTTAAATAAATGTATTATTTCTGATCATTATTATCACTTTTTTGTTACTTTCCACCACTATTTAAAAAGATAATCATATGACGTGGCATTAATAATTCACTCTCTTGGGACAAAAGGCTCTACCCACACCAATGTGACCCTCAGACCTCAATACACACCGGGGTGTCCACATACTTCTGACCACAAAGCTCTACCTTCCCTCCATCATAAGTAAGTTAAACACATAATATTTACAGGCACAAAACACACAAATAAAACCTGAAGTCTGTTAAATAAAGCTGAAGTGAGCAGATGACCGTCTTTACCTTCTGGTAGGTGTACTGGATCTTCAGTCCCTTCTCTTTAGCCTCGTCCCGGAGCTCTGTGAGCCACTTGAGGAACAGCGGGTTCGGGCAGGCAGGCAGGGGGCGTTTCCGACCCAACCGGACTGGCTCCGAAGCGGGCATCCCTTTGGACGTGACAGGAGGAAAGTGACACGGTTATCCGACAGAATACTAACACACCACGGCATGATAAAAGACAACAAACTCGGTGCTAGCTGCAGCTTTAGCTAACACAAGCTAACGTTAGCACACCCTAATCAGCAAGCTGAAAGATTTTAACGACACGCCGCCATATTTAAAAGTAGTAAGCAACATGTGTGAAGGTATTTAGATTTTAAAAAGTCAGGTAGGTCGTGCATGTGCCTGGAAATGCGGCTCACCTTTCATCTGAGAGTTTGCAGCAGCTCCTGGCGCCTTGTATTCAAAGACACAGCGCACTTCCTTGTTGACATCCGTGACGTCACCGGAAGGAGACGGAAGGGAAGAGGGCCAAAAGGCGAACAGTGACATCTAGCGGCGGGATTAGTAACACAAAGACAAATTTAGGGATAAATTAGATTAAATTAACAAAGTAACAGTAATTACAGTAATTTTGAGGTACTTGTGCTTTACTTGAATATTTCTATTTCATGCTACTTTACATTTCTCCTCCACTACATTTATATTGTACCTTTTACTCCACTACATTTAGCTGATAACTTTATAATACAAAATATGTTACATTATCAGATTTTTAACTTGAATATAGATGAGAGTTTTAATTTTTTTTAAATTAATATTAACATTTATATATGTTATTGTATATAGTGTTTAAGTTTTAGTTAGTAGTTTAATTTTATTGCATAATGAGCACTAACTTTATGTCTTTTTTTTCTGTGTTCTTACCTTGTTTTGTTTTTATTTATCGCTCAGTTACTTTTTAACTTTGCTTTGGCTTGTGCGTTACTGATATCATTATTATTCTATTTTTTATTTTTTTATATTTTTCCTATAATTTTCCTATAATTCATAATTACATAATTAAATACTGCACTTTTACACTTCTACTCCTCTAGCTAATTCTTACTCCACTACATTTATCTTACTCTTTTATGCAGGTATTACATTACATAATAACTTAATATTACGTAACATTTTAAAGGAGTCATCCTTCATACTGAAGAACCTACTTTAACTTTTGATACTTAAAGTATATTTTGCTGATAATACTTCTGTACTTTTACTAATGTAACATTTTGAACTCAGGACCTTTACTTGTAATGGAACATTTTTCTAGTACTTTTACTTAAATACAGGCTCTGACTACTTCTTTCATCACTGACTGTGCTGGTATTTCTAAGTTCAATTCATCCAGTTTCTTCACTTCTATAGAATATATCCACCACCAGGGATAGGTTCACATATTTTCAGGTTTAAGTTATGATAATACACCACATGCCCATGTGTATGCTGAAAAACGTTTTGATCGCTGTAGGTGTTCCTCTTCGCCATATTGTTTGTTTTTGATTTGGCACCTTGTCGATATTTAATATGTTACGTTTGCACTCTTTCCAACGTTGTGCTGCGACTGTTCCACAACACTCTCCCTTTGGGTAAGGGTAGAAGTTCTCAGGGCTGACAGCAGCTCAGTCTATAGGGACGTGGCTTGGGAAACAGAGAGTCGCTAATTCAAGTCCCTGTACAGACCAAGCATGGAGCATGGACTGGCAGCTGGGGAGGCACCAGCTCATCTCCTGGGCACGGCCAAAGTGCCCTTGAACTGCTCAAGGCGCCTATCCAAGGCAATCCCATTGCTCACACATCTCTCCATTCAATGCATGCATAGGTCCTGTGTGTGCATGTGTGCATATGACAACATCCCCGTCCGAGATTAATAAAGTATATCTTTTTCTCGGAAATAAAGTTCTAGCTCCTCCTGATATTCTGTGTCCTTATATGGTTGTTGTTTGATATGGAAATTTGACCAATTTTAGCAAGTTTTAGGAAGTACTCGTTTGAAGACATCAGGACTTTTTTTTATCGTCTCATTTGAGGACACTGGGACTTCATTATTGTTGACAGTGTTTAGTTTTTTATACTTATCGGGTCCTACTGATCCCAAACAGCTAGGAGAAATTAAAATGCATACCAAACAAAAGTTCAGGTCTCAGGAGGTTCTTACCTTCTCGTATATTGGTCAAAAACAGGTCGCTGTCCGAGTAGTTTCAATGTATGTGATGGGGGGGGACAAAAATGGGGCTTCAACAGCGTGAGTTATCCAAATCAAGAGGGTATCTTCCAAATGTAGTCTTTTTGGTATCAAAATACTCACATTAGCAGTTCTGTGAGGCTCTACATCGGCACACTGGTTCTTTGAGCTCATGACAGGTCATGCTATAGTTGAGACACTTCACTACACTAAATATGTCAACCTTAAGCAAGAATAAAAGTCAGGGGATCAATAACATCAGCAGAGTTCATCCTCCAGGGACCATGAATGTCTCTACTAAATTTCATGGCCATACATCGGAAAGGTATTGAGATATTTCAGTCTGGACCAAAGTGTTGGACGATCAACTGACGGACAAGTGTTGCCATCCCTAGAGCCACAGAGACCTTACGAAGGCATCTCTCCAAGAATTAAATACATTTTAAGAATGACAGCTTACAAAAAATAACTTTACAGAGTTTACTGAAACTTAACTAAACTTCACATGTGCAAATACATTCTTTCGTTTGTGTTAAAATACAGCTTTAAAGAAAATTCCGTATGTATCAGGAGAGTTTATTCACATGGATAATGGTGTGACTGACAATATGACTTTCAGGCTTCTTCAATACAATCGGCCTCAGTTAACTTCCAAGACCGTTATCTGACTGTCAGCCGAATCCGCCTCCCTGTTTCCTCAGGCTGAAGGGCGTTTGCAGGATTCCTCCAACAAGACCCGACAGAGACCAAGAATCCAACCTCACCCTTCAAACCACAACCTCTCTCTGTCTTCAACACAGTCAAAAAGCTTGGGGGGAAGACGCAGCATAATTAATGCACAACAGACACCTTTCATGCACTCACACATAGAGTTTGAAGAGGAAACAGAGATCGACAGAAATTTTACAGCTCAAACAATGACTAAGCTTACAAAAACAGAAGTGTTTTAGACGATGGAGTAACATACATCTAATTGTGACCACATGGATTTACAGCTCTAAATGTCAGCAGCCAAACCAAGAATTCCTTTTGTGTCTGTAGCAACATTTCCTGTCATCACTCGGATGATATTACGTAAATATTTCATATTCTTTTGCTTATTTCCTAAATTACTTTTACACCACCCACTAAGTTGGGCAATTTGGAAGTTAACTGAAGTTGGTGTTCTTGCCAGTTGTCTAAAAGTGTCACCACTGTAAAAGTAAACTGCACCTAAATCTATCTGATGTACGTATTTTTACTAACATAACAAGTCTATTCTTGGCATTTCATGCACATGCATGCTTGAAAATGGGTTTACCGTTGCATGCACCTACTACTACCTGAAGTGCTCTAGTATCAGTAGAATCAGGTGTGAGTTGCCAAATGTCAGAGATATCGGCCGTAGAGACATCTGCCTTCCCTACAATATTATAGAACTAGATGGCACTCGGCTTGGGGTGCTCAAAACACCAAAAAAAAAAACAAAAACAAATCTTAAAAACTCAACAGCAATGTCTCTTTCCAGAAATCATGACCCGTTTACTCAAGATAATCCACAGACCTTGATGAGAGCAGTTTCATGTATTGTCGTTTTACCGAACTACACCTGCCAACCGTATCATTGCGCAAAAGGAGGCATGGCTCTACTGCTAGCTCACCTAGCACCACTGAGCTAACGTTACAGCTCAGCTGAGGAGGGCACCATTCATTTCTACTAGGGATGTCAAAATAACGCATTTATTTTGACTGATTAATCACAGAAGAAATCACTCCTTGAAAAATTAACGCTGATTAATCACATTCCACGGTGCCCTTCAACCCGGTGCGCCACTGAAGGCCACAGATGATGGAGGCAGACGAGATGACGCTGCTTGGCCCCGTGAATGGAACATTTACATTTAAAAAATGGCCAGGTGAGACTGTTGATAGGAACAGTAAGGAATTTTCGTATAATTAGAATATCTAAAGCCTGAAATATCACCTCAACACAGCATTTAGCAGCGAACCCGGAAGTCTAAGCTAGCACAGCCTCTGATGCTAGCGCTAGCAGCTAGCTTCCCCAAGTCTCACTCGACCAGGTGTCCAGTCACAAATTGAGAAAGTCTACCTGTGACCGACTAACTCCCTTACAAAATGGATTGCAGACCAGTTTCGGTGGTAGACGACAGGGGGAGAAGTGTGTCCACAATCCAGCAGCTTTACTACGACACGTGCCAAAATTCATTTGAACCGAAATTTTAAAAATACTTTCAATGTAAAAGTTGATGTACATGATAAACTTAGATTAATTAATCACAGAGCATGTAAGTAATTAGGTTAATTTTTCAAATCGCTTGACAGCCTTAATTTTTACAAAATGTGCTCTCATCCGGTGTAACGCGTTACAAATGTAGCATGTTAAAGTATCATACGTTTCGCAGTAATAAAGTAATAACAACAGGATTTTGAGCAATATTATTACATTTACAATGTCACGTAATGTGTTACCAGCTAATATAAAGTTTGTTTTCATTTTTCATTTATCCACGCTGATCCATACCGCTACACGTCCACCAGTGCGCCACCAGAATATATATCCCCTAAGGGTTGCTGTGTCTTGTCATGTCATCGCAGACTATGTTATAGAAAGATGCTGTTGATTGACACATCTGGGTGATGTTTTAGGGCTGCTGTGAAACTGCGCCTACAAACAAAACAAAAAAGTTTGTCTTGGGTGCGTCGGTACAACAGACAAACAAGAAAGGTCGGTAGAAGACATATGGCCACACCAATGTCACATGGTCACAAAAAGGTCCACATGGTCCACAGGCTTTCTAGCCTGGTGACATTGGTGTGGCCGTATGTCTTCTACCGTCCTTTCTTGTACATCTTGGTGATGCCATCAAATGTGCGTTAATATGTTGGATGTTTTTCCATTCATAGTCCCTACAGCTGCAGAGCAACACGAGCACGAGCCTCTCGTCCATGAGTAGATGCACACTTCCTTCTGCGCAGTTCGGTAGAAAGAAAATAGTTCCTACATTAAACTGCTCACAACAAGGTCTGTGGATTATCTTGAGTAACTGGGCCATGACATTGCTGTTGAGTTTTCCAAATGTATTTATTTATTGGCACTACGGCTGATGTCTCCAACACTCGGCAACTCACACCAAAACAATCTAGACTGATATTTAGCGCTACAAGTAAGAGGAAAACTATGTCCCTTAAACGCTGTTGAACCAGGATGCACTAAAAAGTAGCTTACATTAAAACACAACATGACAGAAAGAGAATTCATCCTCGTGTAATATATTACTCCCTTTAATGAACAAAGTACTTTTTTCATAGAAAAACTCTGTACGAAGAAGCCCACAGGTAGCATTCACATGCAATACAATACAATTGAAGAAAAATACGTTGGCATTGTCAGACATGTTAATAAACTCTTCCACATCACAGTCCCAATGTAAAAATATATATTACTCAGAGTCAAACTTGGCATTGTTTGGTGCGTGATTTCATTTAACATTGCAGTCTGCGATATATACAGATACCCAAATCCACACACACATACATTCATACATATACACACGTTTCTTTCCCCGTTTACTGCTATGTAATCTGTCTCGTCATCCACCCGACATGTCTCACTTCAGCTACAGTGTTTGTCCATATGTCCTGAGTTTGCTGTTAATCCTCTCCTCTACTGCCCTCCCGATCCCGTCGTGTCATCACTTTCAGCACCTTGAGGAGAGCTTGGTAGCGATCCTGCTCTTCCTCCTCCTCCTCCTCCTCCAGCTCCGGCTCTCCTCGCAGCCTTCCCCTTCAGCAGGGCGCTTTCGGGGTGGACCGAGTGCAGGTGGATCAGCAGCTCGTCCTGAGATCCCGACGTCAGGCCGCACTCCTCGCAGACGTACAGCTTGTTGCGCCGCTCCTTGTAGGCGTACTTCTGGGTGACGCTGTGGATCTTCTTCATGTGGGACTCCAGGGAGCAGCGCTGGGTGAAGGCCTTGTCACACAGGGTGCACTTGTAGGGACGGACTCCTGTTTGAAAATGTGAAAAATTGTATGAAAAATGTATGAAAGAAAATGTATGAAAAATTAATCATTCTTGCATCTATTGACACGTGTAAACCAGTGGTGGAATATCACAAAGTATATTTACTCAAGTGCTGTACTTGAATACAGAATAGTGAGTGTTTTCTTTTTACACCACTTTCTACTTCTGCTCTGCTACAATTATTATAAAGCTATAGATACTTTAAAAATGAATGTTTTTACATTTAAAAAAACATATGAAAAGTTTATAAAATATAATATTTTGGTATAAATTAAAATACCCAAACATTTATACGAGGACAGCTAAATTAATTAGCCAATTAACCAATTATTCAATTGACATTTTATGATTTGCTGCTTTTTCTTTTATTTTAATTCATTTTTAATCATTTTGAGATTTTTTTTCTGTTTTTCTGCATTGAGTACTTTTACTTTTAACACTTTAGTACATTTTCCTCATTAAACTTCGTCACTTTTACTTAAATGCCATTTTTACTTATTTTTTAAGAATGGAATTAGTACTTTTATTTAAATAAAGGATTTGATTGCCTCTATGGAGGATAAAAATGACTTGAGTATCAATAAATAAATGAAAAATAAATGTATAAATAAATATGGAAATAAATACAATTTTAAAAATATAGAAAAAAATACAGGAATAAATACAGGAATTAAAAAAATAAATAAATAAATAAATAAATAAATAAATAAGTAATAAATACATAAATAAAATACAGGAATAGATAAATAAATATGGGAATAAATGAATGGATACATTTAAAAATAAATGTTGTAATAAATATTAAAAATATATCTGAATGCATGAATAAATAAATAAATAAATAAATAAGTAGTTGATCTTTAAACAGGACATAACTCTAAATAAATAGCTTAAATTTGTCTGTATTTTTCTACCACTACATTTATTCATTTATGTATTTCTGTACTTGTATGTTGAGGAGGCAGGAGGTCCTAACTACTCTGCATATATTTCTTTATTCGTGGATTTATTTCCATAATTATTTATTTAACCTCTTTTATTTATTTATTCCTGTATTTATTTATACGTTTACTTATTTTTTATTTGTCGATACTTGTATCATTTTTCGACCTCCGTACACTTCCTCCAACCCCTGGTGTAAACATGAAAGTGTGCAGCTACCTGTATGCGTGCGCACGTGTCTCTTGAGGTCAAAGGTGTCGTTGAAGCCTTTGCCGCAGAAGCTGCACAGGTGCCTCTTGGTCTCGTTGTGACACTTGACATGTCTGTTTAACATTCGCTGGTACTGGAAGGTCTTCTGGCAAACCTGCCACAACAAAGACATTTGACATTCAGCGCTTCTCATCAGAAGCCTCACACACATCATTAATACATTTTTATTTGCCATGAGACACGTGCAGGGTAAATGTTTTGTTAACATCCATGTTTGCCTGCAGTCTTCTTCTTCACTGCTAACTCTCTCACTTTAGTTTTGTCATTTGCTTTGTAAATTGATTAGCGTTTGTTATTCATAGGATATTTCACAATGGTTTTACTGGTCTTGCCCACCTAAAATGAGTCTGGCACCTCTAATCTAAAGGGTCCTTTTTAGTCACACTGGTGGAAATGGGCTTCCATTTCGGTTTTAAAGCTTCAACCAAAGCGTACCTGGCACGCATAGTTCCCCGTCGACCCCGCTGACAAACTCAAACTTTGACCTGTTGATCTGGTTACCATGGAAACCTCTTCCATGGGATCAGGGGTTTTCGTCTGGGCAACTGGCATCATGGTGGCATCCGGAGTCAGGGTTGGCGGAGCGGGAATGGGCGGGAGGGAGAGAGGAAGATGAGACGGATCGGGCGGCAGCTCGCCTGTAGTTACCTGTGGTGGAGAGAGAGAGAGATGAGATTTTATTTCACTCAGCTAAATTCATGAAGCTGTTTTTCTTCATTTCCATCACTGAGCTGCAGTTTAACACATGAAAAAGGAATTTTATTTCAAATTGAAATCATTATTTGACAATGTCGCACTTAAAGCAAAAATATTAGTTCCATTAAGACATTAACTAAGAAAAAAATACCAATTTAAGGGGCGTAGTTGTGTGTAATTCTAAAATTTTATCCACATATGCTTGTTCCCTCACCTTGATTTTGGACCGGATATATGTGGAGGCACCCTGTGACCTCCGTCTGATCTCTGACCTCTCCCCCGGTGAAGGCGCCGGGCTCTGCGGTCGGCCCAGCATTGTGCTGGAGGGCAGCTCGGCGTACGTTTGCGTGTCGGAGAGAGAGTGTTTGGTGAGGCAGAGCGGCGTCGTCTCTGCGGGGCTGGCTTCGGCTTCCATCGTCAGGACGGACGGGGGAAAGATGGAGACTGGAGGGAGAGAGGAAGAGGAAGAGTCAGCATTGTAAAGTCTACTCTTAAACCAGAGGATCCACAATACGATATTACCACAATACTTAAGTCACGATTTAATATAGTAGCATAGTAGCAATACTATGCTGTATCAAACAAGCATGTTCACTGACATCTGGAATATGACTCGTAGGTCGGCGCATTGTTGCAACACCACAATGCTTCATTTATCAGGCCCTCCAGGATCTCGCGGCAAAAAAAACTTGAATTTGCGGCCAATTTTGTCAAACATTTCGATAAAAAATGTGGCATTTTTATGTGATTTTTTTGTGGGAAATTGCAGCTAATGACAAAAAATGCAGCAAATGACAAAAGTTGCAGCTAATGAGAAAAGTTGCAGCTAATGACAAAAGTTGCAGTTAATGACAAAAATTGCAGCTAACAACAAAAGTTGCAGCAAATGACAAAAATTGCAGCAAATGACAAAAGTTGCAGCTAATGACAAAAATTGAAGCTAATGACAAAAAATGCAGCAAATGACAAAAGTTGCAGCTAATGACAAAAGTTGCAGCTAATGACAAAAATTGCAGCTAATGACAAAAGTTGCAGCTAATGACAAAAATTGCAGCTAATGACAAAAAATGCAGCAAATGACAAAAGTTGCAGCTAATGACAAAAGTTGCAGCTCATGACAAAAGGAGAAAAAAATGTGATTTTCTACTCCCTCCAAAAAATAAGTCATGTAATCACTTGCTATAATAATCATACTGAATATTACAAAAATAGCTGCATGTTTTTTATCGTTCTTTTCTTTAGTTTTACTTAATTAGTTTCAAAACATGGACTCCAATAATGTTGCAAAAAATCCTGAGTGAATATTGTAGCTCTCAACCCAGACAGTGTGACTGTAAAACAACATGTCAGCTAAACATAACATTTTAATACATTCAGCACATATTGTCTGCATTTAAATAGAGCAAATTCTTAGGTCCATACTGCAATGCCATTAGCGCAATTTGATGACGCATCTGATGACGACGACTTCTGGTCAGCCAGAAAATGCGGACAAACACGGAAAAATCGTGGGAGTTTTGAAAAATTGCAAGCCCCAGCAAATATTGCGGACTTTCGTTGAATTTGTGTTAATTATTGTGATCGCAAGATTTTCTGGAGGGCCGGGTTTATAATGTGACACATTTATCAAAAAATTGCTATTGCTATAAATTGCTGACACTCGCTATAAAGCTGTGTCATTCTAAAAATATTGATTATAGCCACCTCGAAGATACAAATTTTTCTAAGAAAATGTATAATTATTCGATGCGATTGCGTTCACCTAAAGCTCACCTGGTAGAGCGGGTGCCCCGTGTACAAAGGCTATGACCTCAACATATGTACATAGCACCTTTCTGGTCATCCAACCACTCAAAGCACTTTTTACACTACACTACTGACTTGTGACCCTTCCTTCTCTCCCATGCTTTCATGCTCAAACCGTCCTATCTAATAAAGGCAAAAAAGCCATATAATAATCTTTTAAAAAAGGATATGGTGTGGCAATAATCGGGCACCTTTGCTAAAGATTTCTTTTACTGTTTCCAATAAATGTTATTGGTTCATTTTGAAGGAAAATGTGCAAAGTGCCACACATTACAGCAACATTTAAAACACAATTTTCCTATTGAAAGAATGTGATTAACGGTTTTAAAATGGCTCTCATCATATACACAATGTTTTTGGAACAATGTTTAACCGTACAGATTAATTTGTCCTCTTACTTTTACTTGTCGACTAGTTCAGAGAGAGAGGGAACATCCCAAGAGTTTACGTGATTTATTTTACTCTTTATAACATTTCAAAAAGTAGCTACTGTATTTAAGTGCACTGGTTTAACACACTTTCATTTACGCCTTACTGACGATACAGTCGCCTCAGCACAGCTTTGCGTTTGTTCATGTAACTGCAGCCTTTAAAAGACAATTTATCCCTCTGAAAAAGGAGGACAGAGAGTGAGAGAACAAGGGGAAGAGAAAGAATGACGGAAACCAAGGTCGGTGTTTCTGGTACTGTAGAATTTCCCAACAGGTAGCCGGCCGGCCTGCACCGGTTCATATTTGCACAATCTCTCAATTAGCAAACACGCAGAGTTAAATATGTATTTGTGTGTGTGGGTGTGGGTGTGGGTGTGCACATGTTTGGCCTATTGTTTTGTGCTACTTATTTTGCATGCATGCACATGCCCCACATGCACACACACACACACACACACACACACACACACACCACATAACCATTACAGTTAGACTTGTCCGACCAGACAGTCTTGCAGCACCGGCTCTGAACCTTCCTCAAATAATCCACCTCCGCAGGGGTGGATGCCTGTCTGTGTATGTGTGTGTGTGTGTGTGTGTGTGTGTGTGAGCACAGTCTAACAAAACACCACTCAAAAAAGGGAGATGTAAGGTCATAGAAACCTTTCAGCTCTCCAACAGGCAAGTGTGTGTGCATGTTTTTGTGTGTGTGTGTTCAGGTATAGCCCAGAGGCAGGTGTGGTTCAGCTCAGCGCCGACACCGAATCAGTCGACTCACAATCAGATAAAACTCAAATGCAGATGCAAATGCAGCCCCGCAGTGAGCTGTAAAGATGAAAGGACATAAGAGCCATTCTGCAGAAGTAACGGTACGCCGTGACACACAGCGACGGCTCTGTGTACACTGTGACACATCAACTGCTGGTGCCTCTCGTGTTTAATAAAGAGCTATCACTAACTGAGCCTCTGCCCATCTCCATAATGACTTTATAGTGACTTGGGCTTGTTTGAATTTCTTTAATATCAACATGATCCACCCGGCCAGCATACGCCTAATTTTTGTCCGTGTCAAAGTGTCAGATATCTTTGAATGTTTCACTATTTTCTGACAGTTTTATGACAAAATGATAAATCAATTTATTAAGAAAATAACTATCAGATTAATTGATTATGACAATGAGGTGCAGCCCTGATACCTGATCACAGAATAAACATGATAATGTCGACAATTTAAACCAAACCCTAAGACAGGAGTCTGGACATGAACTCAAAGTTTTAGGATGCATTCACTATTCACTATTTGGTCCGCTTTAAACAAACCCTGGTCCGCTTCCATGGATAGTTCGGTTCATTTGGAGTGGTGTGAACGCTCATTTGAACTCTGGTGCGGACCAAATGAGTGAACCCTGGTCCGCTTGAAAACTGGGGGTCTCGGTTCCTGGTGCAGTTCGCTTACAGTGGGAAATGCAAACAGACTATGCAGCGAACCAAAGAGAGGAAGTGAACCAAAGAGAGGAAGTGACATAGAGCGCAGTGCATTTTGGTGTTTGGTGTTTTTGTGGTGACCAAGCCAGACTATCCTGGTGTGAATGCGCCCTTAGTGTCAAGGTCCTGCACTTTGTTTGCCAGCCATCCACCCCAACTACCTCATTCTGAAGCCTGCACGGCACATGAATGTAGAGTTTAAAGAAACATAATCCAGGCAGCGATGATGGTTTGCCACAACAACGTAATTAAGAAAGCAGTTTAGTAACATACAAATGTAATTTCTGAGACTGTGTTGGAATAAAAGAAGGGCGCTGCTGCTAAAGCTAAAGCTAAAGCTACTGCTGCTACGTTATGTATTTCAATCACACACAATCCCAGCCAATATTTGTGCGTGGGTCCCATGTGGGTCGTAAATGGGCTGAAAAATCACTGGTTCCAATATGGATCCAGCTGTCTACATGGGTGGGTTTACACAGGTTGGCCCCACATGGGTTATGCTGGTGCTACCTGGGTACCAAGATGGTCCAAAATGGGCATCCTGTCTGGGGCCCACTTGGATAACCCTCCCATGTGGGCAAATGGCATTGGGTCAATATGGAGCCCAAGGACAGTCCCATTGGGGTCCATTTTTGAGCCCATTTACACACATGGGCCCCACCCACAAATGTTGGCTGGGATTGTGCATGTGTTGTAGTCGTTCTAGAAAATATGTTGTTTCTGAAGAAAATTCGCATCAACAGCATGAGATTAAAATACATAATGTAGCTGCCGCATGTACCCCGCAGGCTTCTGAAAGAGGTGATTGGGGAGGATGGCTAGGGCGTACAAAGTGCAGGACCTTGACACCAGAGCTTTGGGTTCATTTCCAGACTCGTTTGCTGGGATGCTTTATGAATACCTATCAATAACCATTAGATTATGAGCCATTTAATGGACAGACTACGGTGAAAAATGGTGAGAATATCCACTGTGATGTCTTCGAATACCTGTTGTGGGTGAGCCAACAGCCCAACACCCAAGAACTTCTGATTTCCAATTATCTAAACAGCAAATATTTCACCTTTAATGCCCAGACACACCAAACCGACGTCAAAGAACTAGTGCTGACGAAGGCCAATTGTTGCCTGAGTCTTGGCCAAAAAGTAGCACTTTAACAAACCACAAAGACTACAGCCAACCAGCACATAAGTTCTGCACCGGCGTGAGTGGAAATAACTCTCCACACCAGCAGGCAGCGGAAGTCTGTATCCATCGTTCAAAGGGTGAAACCGGAAGACTGACAGGTTGGATTCAAGACGCTAGTTAGCCAGTTAGCATTTCAACAACTCAACCTGGTGTTTAAAGAACAACATTTACCGTGCGCTGGTCACCGACAGCACAACGATTACGAACCATTTCTGCTAAAGAGCTCAATGGCTAAATGGACCTGCACTTGTCGTCCAGATCTTTTCAGCTCACAGAGTAGCGGGCCATGTTTATAAATCTTTGTGTGGTGATGGTTTCTGTGGTGACTGCTGCCGGCTGGACATTTAATCTCATCTTGTATTGTTTGTTCACCCCTCCTCCGCCCTCATCAATGAATGCAGTGTGTGTGTGTGTGTGTGTGTGTGTGTGTGAGTGTGAGTGTATGTTTGGGGGTTAGAATGAGGGGGTTCACAATACTCCAACTGTTGCTGCGACAAGAGAGGTAGAGGGTTTAGTCGCTCTAAATGAGCTCCTTTAATATTTTCTGTCTGTCCATTTAACTCAGCGGAGAGAAAGAGAGTCAACAATCGGTAGATAACTTTAACAAACACAGGGTGTGTGTGTGTGTGTGTGTGTGTGTGTGTGTGTGTGTGTGTGTGTGTGTGTTTGCCAAAGGCGTACTGTCTGCAGCAGTAGGCTGTCTTTAGGGTCCGTTACATTTCCTCCCATCCAATAAACATTAACCTCACAGCAGCCTCAGGACAGACCTGACAGAGTGGAAACCCTCGCTGTGATACGATGAACTCACAAACATTATTAAAGCCCAGCTGATCATTCGGCTGTCTGATGTTATCGGCTGACATCCCGCAATAGAACGACAGTTCGGAAAATGCACTTATTCGCTTTCTTGCTAAAAGAGAGACGAGAAAATTGTTACCGCTCCCATGTTGGAGGTAAATAGGAAGCCGCTTAGCTCAGCTCAGCTTAGCTTAGCTTAGCATAATGACTGGGAACAGGGGGAAACAGCTAGCCTGGCTCTCTCCTAAGGTAGCCAGCACTTTTAAAGCTCACTAAAGAACACGTTAAGTTTTGACACATAGTCTCCGCTGGTTGCCTGGCAACAATATGATGATGACAAGACTCCAGGAAGTGACAGCGCCTGCCACATAACCCCTGTAAAAAACATAAAAACAAAGTCTTGTCTTTACACTTTTGTTTCTATAACACCTTGATTAATGAGTTTAGAGGCTCTGTGAGGCAGATTGTTAATTTATCTTCGGACTGTCTCAGCTATTGCCCCCTCCCGTCCAGTCTTTATGCTAAGCTAAGCTAAGCTAACTGTCTCTGGGCTTTAGCTTCATGTTTGACAAAAACATAACATGTGCGGCGTCAATTTTCTCAGCGTTTTTCACAAAATGACAAACTATTCCTCTGATAAACAAATTGAGTCATTATCAAAATGTCTTCTTTAGAAATTTTGATGTTAAAGCGGAAAAATTACATTAGCCTACCAGACTCTAAAACTTGACTCTAGATGAGGGTATTGGCCTTGAAAAAACATTATTAAAATAAAAATATTACTAATATTAACCTGTATATATTTGTTTATGTGTTTAGTGTGCATTGCTTTTATATATTATTAAATTTTCATCAATTTTTTTTATCGCTCAGTCACTTTTTTCTTTGCTTTTGTCTCGTGAGCTGCTGTAACGATCTTATTTATGTTGTCCTATTCCTAAATATCATTTTGTTTCACTTTTAAATTTTAAAGATGGAAGGGTTAAACAGTTTTAATCTCAGACTTTTTGCGTTTATAATAATAATAATCATAATAACAAGGACAACAGTAATTATTAATATTATTAGTACTGTTATTATTAATAATACAGAGCAGGATAACCTGATTCTTGTCACCTTTCTATGGGCCTTTGTTACATGAAAATGTTTAGATGACAACACCACATTTCCTGTTGATAATCTAGGTTTTATTCATGTTGTTATTCATAATTTTATGTTCAAATTTCTTTCTTTCTTTTTGCTTTTTCTTCCCACTGACACACTTTGGCTGTCCCATACAGATAACATTTTAACAGTGTGTCCCGTCTCATCATCTTTATTAAACTCTGTGTATTGTACTGTATTTTTAAACAGTGTTTTGCCCGATTTCAAAACAAGCTAATGAGTAATACACACTTGTTATGTGTCTAAGTCAGAGGCAGATTTAAGACCAGTGATCCATCAGAAACAGGCCCTGGAACATGTTTGTGGATTAAGAAATAAAAATAGTCTGCTACACCAACACACTGCACACACACCTACACACACAGAGACACACACAGTGAGAAAACTGTCCAAACTGATGGCATCTGGCGCCTCATAAAAGTATTCAACAAGCCTGCTTCTGACTGCAATTATCATACCTCTGTGTGTTTGTGTGTGAGTGCATGAGTGTCTGTGTGTCCTTCTGCCACCCTCATACAAAAACACACGTCGGGCAGGTACGTCAAGTAACGGCACATACCAGAAACTTTAGCTGAGACTGTTGCTGGGTTTGGTGAGGTGTGCGCAATTACGCACTGACACGCAGTTGTTTTTCTATCTTTAAGGTATATCCTCGTGACAAATTGGATATTTCGATGAATAAAATGTAACTTTTATTCGACTCAGTCTCATTTTGGATGATGCTTAAGGTCAACAAACAGTTTACAGAATCTCACTGATCAAAATAAGTAAATTAAACCGTAGGAAATGGGTCGTTTTCTGTTTTTCCGTGCGTAAAATCAGCTTCCAAAAGCTTTAATTGTGCTTTTCATGATTCCAGAAATACATGCATTCTTCTATTACGATTATTTAATGTTATTTCGCATAACTACAATTGTGTTTTAGTTCATTTTACACGCGTCAAACATAACCTGAAAATCAGCGGCGGCTCATTTCATCCAAATGTTCCGGTTTCAAACACAGCAGAGGATGTAAAAGTCAATGATTAAAAGTTAACGGTGATGAGATGAGGAGAGAGAGAAAACAGACAGAGGGAGAAGGAGAGGGGGGAGGGGGAGAGAAAGAAGGAGAGCGAGAGAGAGAGGTTTAGGGTGTAGTCCGTTACTTGTTATCTGATACCGACGTGGTCTTACAATAAAAACTCCGCCGATGGCAACAATGGAGATTGTTCACAAGAGGCGTAGTTGGGTGAGAGGTGGGCTCCCTTTACTGGTCATTTAAATGCAAAGTTTGGGTGGGTGGGGGGGCAAACACTGGAGCCTGAGACATCAGGCTCATGAGTGACAGTTCACAACATGTCAGCTCTTGTGCGCTTTCAGTTGGGAAACGTTATTTCCAGTGCAGACCACTGAGAGGACCACTCATGCGTGTTATGTCTTCAGCTGTTTATTCTGATTTAAGCATGTGAGGACAAGTTGTCAAAGCTCAAACAATGATTATAAAATCACAACCTGTACTATGATTACTCTCAAGCTGTATCCAAAAGCACTGAGGTGAATGACTGGGCAGGCTGATATATATATAGGCCTATATTTGGGCTATAAGTCAGCGCAGTGTGAAGTTGTACAAGGAAGAACGCTGCAATCAGGGGTTGAAGGTCGATGTGTGAAAAGCAACGGGCCCTTGTGATAGCTCGTTAGGCCGCAGCACACAGTGACAGACATGAAAATAAAAACATACCGACGTGTGTGTGCTCACTGCTCAGATATATGGACTTTAATTAATATTGTTTATATTTTTATAATTAAATATTTGCATGTGGATACAGTCAGATTTAACTGTTTTGGCGCACAGATTAAAATGCGTTTAATAGACAGAGACAAACAAACGCAACTTCCCCCCCTGCATGCGGGAACTACGGTCTCTCTTCACGGCCCGCTGGGTTTCCCGTTATTCGGTGGCCCTGGACTGCAGCCGCCCCGTTACAATCACAACCCGACCCCCTCCCCACCCGCCACACTGACACTCCTAGTGGATCCGAAACTGCATTAAACCCACAAACCCGCGCGTAAACGCACCCAAAAACGCGTCACGACCCGCCGCTGCGTAGGTGGTTTTCTGTTTTGAGTAACAAATATGGCTCATTACAGCAGCCTGGACTCACCTGGGATGTAGACGTCCCCTCGCTCATTATCAGGCAGCTCGCTCCAGTTCCGCTTTCCCGGCGAAACATTCGCCTTCTTCACCAGAAAGGCCCTCGGCATGCTTAATTAACACCCAGTCCTTGTTTGGAGGTTAGAGGAGAAGCTGGCGACGTAACAACAAGTTACAAAAGCAGGAAACTCCAAAGTTGGGAGAAAAAAAAATGGAAGGTGTCGGTCCCCTCTTCTCCTCCTTCCTTCTTGCACCTTTCTTCTCGTTTCGTAAACTGCGTGCCGCTTTAAAGTCCCTCTTTTTCCGCGCACACCTTTGCTTTCTTTGCCGCACTCAAACAAAAAACAACGAGAAGTGTTTTCGGGCGGACAGGTGAGTCCGCTCAGGTGTGCGAGCCGGACAGGTAAAGACGAATATCACCTCCAGCGCCCTGAAATAACGGGAGTGTGTGTGCGTGGGTGAGGTAGAGGGAAAAAAACGGTGTATTGTATCCTGATCACACACACACAGTCGACAGAGGTGGGTCAAGAAGCAGCACAGGTACTCATTTGAAAAGCAGGAAACAGGCGCCAGCGCGCATGCGCGTCAGAAATAACGGTGACAAGCCGGGGAGAGTCTGGGTTAGGCCTCAGTATACCTGCTGAACCGGTTTACCCTCCCTTCTCTCTCTCTCTCTCTCTCTCTCTCTCTCTCTCTCTCTCTCTGTCTCAGTCTTTCCTCTCTCTTTCTCCATTCCGCTTGAAGGTGTGGGGCAACGGTGCACTAGACAACAAGAAGGGGGGGATTTGGGGAAGAGGAGAGTGAGGAGGGGGTGAAGTGCATGAAGTAAAACAGAGACACACTGGAACATACATGGCCTGCACACATGTTGCCCTGGAGCTACATGAACACAGCAGTCAGGAGGCTGATAAGCCTGCATAATGTTTTAAACCACATGAAGTGAATGAAAGCCTCCAGAGCAGAATATGATTATTAGTGTCTGACAGCTTGATGTTTTCAGACACAGACTGGAGGTAGAAGGACCTCATCTTGTCTTTTGTTTGGTTATTTTCATGCTACATATTTTGAGAATTCACACATGGATGGGTAACTGAACGGGCCTACAGGGCACAGGCTCAGGGGCCCGAAGTGTCAACAGGCCCCACCTGGCCTTCACCTGCAAAATGTCAAATGTTAAATTAACACATGGCCTACCAACAAGGAAGACACTCACAGTGACAAAAAAAGACAGAAAATTATCTCAGTAAGACACAAAATGATTTCAAAGAGTCCCAAAGGGCTACATAAAGACACAACAACCACAAGCAGACACAACACGACCATAAAGAAACACAAAACAACCAAACAAGACACAAAATGAATACACAGAATGACAAAATAGGACACAAAATGATCTCAAGGAGACCGAAAAGACAACAAAACGGCACAAAACAAACACAAAATGACTAAAAACAAGGCACAAAACAATAAAAAAAAACCACAAAATTAAAACACAAAATGACCTCAAAGTGACAGAAAACGACCAAAAAAGACACAAAATTAAAACACAAAATGACCTCAAAGTGACATAAAAAAAGACACAAAATAACTTCAAGGAGACCAAAGGACTATAAAAAGACACACAGCAACCACAAGGAGACACAAAAGACCTCAAATTGACACAAAACAACCAGGAAATACACAAAATTAAAAAACAAAATGACCTCAAGAAGACCCAAAAGACAACAAAAAGACACAAAACAAACACAAAGTGACACAAAATGACTAAAAAAGACAAAGAAATGACCTCAATGTGACACAAAATCACTACAAATAGACACAAAATTACCAAAAAGACACAAAATGATCTCATGGAGACTCAAAAGACTACATAAAGACACAAAACAAACACAAAGAGACACAGAATGACTACAAATCCACACAAAACAACCAAAAAAGACACAAATTACCACACAAAATGACTAAAAAAGACACAAAATGACTAAAAAAGACTCAAAATGACCTCAAGGAGACACAGAAGACAACAAAAAGACACAAAACAAACATAAAGAGACACAAAATAACCTCAATGTGACACAAAAGACAACCAAAAATAAACAAAACAACCACAAAGAGACACAAAATTACTAAAAAGACATAAAATAACCTCAATGTGACATAAAAAAAAACACTACAAATTGACACAAAATTACAAAAAAAAAGACACAAAATTAGGACACAAAATGACTATATAAGACACAAAATAACCTCAAGGTGACACAAAAGACAACAAAAAAAACAAAACAAACACAAAGTGACACAAAATGACCACAAGTCGTCACAAAACAACCAAAAAAGACACAAAATTAGCACACAAAATGACTAAATAAGACACAAAATGACCTCAAGGTGACACAAAATCACTACAAGTTGACACAAAATGACCTCAAGGAGACACAAAAGACAACAAAAAGACAAACAACAACCATAAAGAGACACAAAAACAACCAAAAAGACACAAAATTAGGACACAAAATGACAAAAAAATGATTTCAAAACACCCCAAAACATTCACCTGCATGCAGGAAATAAAGTACACACTTAAGATTTTCAGGCGGAGCACCCCCAAACTCTCCGTTACACATGTGGCCCCTGCCCCCAGGGTTCAAACAAAACCCACGTCTTTGTATTTCATTATTAATTTTGATAAATACCTCCAATTAACTGAAAGTAGACCTACTTCCTACCTGCTAGTCTATCTGCTGGTTACTATGGATTTCTATTGGATGGCAGTGCCACAGTGTATAAATACTGCACGTCTCAGTGATGTTGCAGTTTAACAGTAGAACCGTAGAAGCTCATCTGGTACAATATTACCGTTAAAAGACAAATATAGGCCTGTAGGTATGTAAATGACTCATTCAGACATCAGTGTGCCCCACCTTTGCCCCCCTACTGTGTGTGTTTACCTACCCATCCTGATTCTCCACTGTTCCCTTGTCTTTGTAATTAACCTCACACACACACACACACACACACACACACACACACACATATCCCCTAACGGGCCTTTCAAAACACCTGAAACCTAAACATAATAACACATGTAAGGGATAGAAGCAGTCATGTAACACGGCTTCTTCACAGCTGAGACAAATGTTGCCTCACTCTGGTTTAGTGTAACTGAACAGTCTGGTCACAGATGTCAGTGATTGGGTAATTGGAGTCCTGGACCCATTTCAATAGGCTGAGGCAATTCTTGTTCCTTCAGATATTCAAATCCAGTATTTAGAAAAGTAGATTTGGTTCCAGCAGACCATGAAAACCTGACATATGCAGGTCCGATCAACGTTCGTAAAGTGACGTTGTATATGAGTTGACTTTGTCACTGAGGCGAGACGCCTAACCACCTAACCACTTTTGCAAACCCTAACCAAGTGGTTTTTGTGCCTAAATTTAACCACAGCATTGCCTAACCATTGTTGTTGACCCCTGCCAAGCTGCAGACCACTGTTAGAGAGCAACAAACAGTGGGTGGTTTTTGTCATTTCTCCACTGGAGATCTTACCATGAAAAGTGTCTGTTCTTTACCAAGCTCTCGCTGCATTTCCAGCCAGGATTGTACCATAGAAGGTCGTTGTTAGTGGTACCAGTATTTTAAGCCAAAACATAATCTTTTCCTACCTATAATCAAATGGTTTTTGTGCTGAAACCAACCCCCCTGTCAACGACAGTGCTGCTGAAACATAAAGAAAGGTAAAGTAACCACAACATAATAATGTACCTGTCATGTATCAACGCATTCTCACTCCGACCTCGTCACATATTCATTTTGGTCATGGACTTTCCATGTCCATGAGGGTAAAATGGAGCTTGAGATGGATCGGCAGTTTGGTGTGGCTTCTGCAGTGATGCCGGCGCTGTGCCGGACTGTTGAGGTGAAGAGGGAGTGTAGCCAGAGGCCAAAGCTTTTGATTTACTGGTCATGAGCTGTGGGTAGTGACCGAATGAATGAGATTGTGGATACAAGTTGCCGAAATGAGTTGTGTTTGGGCTCAGCCTTAGAGCTCGGACATCCGGAGGGAGCTCGGAGTAGAGCTGCTGCTCCTTCGTGTAGAAACGGGTCAGTTGGGGTGGTTCAAGCAAGGATGCCTCCTGGGCGCCTCCTGTTAGAGGTGTCCCTGGCACGTCTAACTGGTAGGAGGCCCCGGGGCAGACCCAGAACACGCTGGAGGGATTACATATCATGTCTGACCTGGGAATGCCTCAGGAGGAGCTGGAAAGCGTTGCTGGGGAGAGGGACGTCTGGGGTGCTTTGTTCAGCCTGCTGCCCCCTTGACCCGACTTCGGATAAGCGGCTGACAATGGATGGATGGATGGATAGTGTATAATAACCTGAAAATAAAAATTGTTCGCTGTCTTAGAATGAGTCATTTATATTTGCATAACAAGAAGGTCCTCTTCCACAGAGTCCGCCATGTTGTTCTACAGTATCCTAGAATGGATAACCCAAACATTGGATCTAGATTGGGGCCCCTGCGTTTTTGTGTCAGCCACCATGCTTGACACACAGGAAAAGTTTAGAGTCTTGATCTTTTTTTTATAAATATATATATGTATGTTCCTAGTTCGAAGTCGGAGGGAGGAGCTCCTCTGTGTCGAGTTTGCATGTTCTCCCTGTGTCAGCGTGGGTCTTCTCCAGGTACTCCAGCTTCCTCCCACAGTCCAAATACATGCAGTTTAATTGGTGACTCTAAATTGTCCGTAGGTGTGAATGTGAGTGTGAATGGTTGTCTGTCTCTATGTGTCAGCCCTGTGATAGTCTGGTGACCTGTCCAGGATGTACCGTGCCTCTCGCCCAGTGTCAGCTGGGATAGGCTGCAGCTGATGTTGTAATACCATGAGTGCTGTCATTTCCTGGTTTTAAAGGCTGCATTACAGTAAAGTGATGTAACTGTCCGAACTTTTATTAACTATTATTTGTCTTGATCCTCTTCGTCCTTATATCCTTATTATGATTATTTATCTTAAAACCCCACTGTGTAAATATTCAGCGAAAGCCCCAATAGTCAACCCTAAGATATCGCTATCAAGGTATTTGGTCAAAAATATCGGGATATCTGATTTTCTCCGAGTCACCCAACCCTCAGTCTGATATCTACAGGGATAGCTTTCGTTTCAGCACTGAGGGGGACCCATGAAACAGGGGTTTGGGGGTCCTATGCCAGAAAATCTTGTGTGTCAAACACTTCATTTCTGCTCTCTGGTGAATTTTGATGCACCATTTTGTGTATTTCTGCATCAATTGTTGGTGTAAAAAGTCTTAAATTTTTCATGTACTTTCATGTTTTTTAATGGGGGTGAAATGCTCATGTTTTAAATATTGAGGGGAACATGTCCCCTGTTTCTTCCCCAAAATCTACACCTATGTATATAATGGCATTGTCCAGCATATATCTACAACTCTAACATTTCCCAAGAGCCTTAAACTACAGCAAATATACTTTCAGCAGATGGTTCCTCTAACTCCGACAGAGATTGTTGCTTTTGTAGATTTGAATTTTCCTCTTTGTTTCGTATTCAGAGTCATTCAGATCTTTCTCCTCTCTGCTCCCTCATGCTCCATTTGCATGTGCAGATAAACAAACCCAGCATCTGAAATAGACACACTGACAAAACAAAACATAAGCAGCGCTTGTCAGCTGATGTTTCCTCGGGTTGAAGAGAGGTCAGAGCGGTCGTGAAGGCAAGGTGTCTGATGAGAGGAGTGGTGCCGGGTGCATGAATGAATGGTATGCCGCCTGGGCTGTCGGAGTAGTTCAGGCAGATCAGCTGCTCTCGCTTTTTCCTCCTAACTGTCATCGAAACTATTATCTGATCTGTCACATCGCCTTGACACCTCTGTCTTGTGTCCAAACTGTCTTTGTTTGGCTTAGGAACATCTATAAATGAGAAAAAAAAGGCCTCAAACATCATTGTGTCACTTTTATTCCCTCCCTGAATGTCTC